GGGGGGGCTGCTGTGACTGCGCCCCACCTGGGGCCGGCTCTCACCCTGCCTCTCTCTTCCCAGGGAGCCGCCGGAGCGAAGGGACTCAAGGGCGACGCTGTAGGTTTGCACACTCCCCTTTTGACCTTGCGTGCGGGAGTCCGGCTCGGGGGCCGACTCGCTGACTTTCACCTCTCGTCTTTCTGGGGCTGGGGGGCCTTGTGTCTCTGCAGGGGAAGCCTGGGCCGCCCGGGTCTCCTGGAAGCGTTGTGAGTACCACTCCCTTTCCTGAGGTGCTCGTTGGTGTGAGTGTGCGAGGGGGAAACGGGGTGTGTTGTCCTGGCAATGAGAAGAACCCCCATTCCTTTGGAGGGGGGATGTGCTGTGAGCTTCTCCTAGCACTAACATTACTCATGGGGAGGGGCTGTCGTTAGTGCCTGCCAGGAGAGGCCTGTCACCCAAGTGGAGGCCACAGTTCCTGTGTTGCAGCAAATGCCTCACAGCACACGTGCACGAGGCATTGGCGTGTGTATTCAGCCCTTGCACAAGCGTGTATCACAACCATCTTCTGGGGCCTGATTCAGGAAAGCCCATGAGCACGTGCTGAATGCCCTACCTATCCCAGAAAGCACATGGCTAACTTTAAATATACGCTTTAATCCGGGCCAAGTCAATAGGATTTACACCCATGCTTGACTTTAATGGGATTTAAAGATGTGCTTAAAATTAAGCAAGTGCTTAACTGAGTCAGTGCCTCAGGGGATATACCATGGAGGCACTTGCCCACCTCTCATGCTCTTTGGTTGCCCTGGTCTGGTCATCCTTGGCTGCCACTCTCCAACATGGCTCCCGTTTGCACAGTACACAGGGTGGAAGCACAGTACAGCCCAGGCTGCCTAGAAAGCTCACAATTCCCTGCTCCTCTCAATTCCTATGCCTCTCTCCCCCGGTCTGCCCTGTCCTAGTACAATGACCCCCAAACCTCCATGACTCACGTCGTCCTCAGATTCAAAGGGCAACGGTGTCCCTTGGGGAAGAGCTGTCTCTAAGCCATGCAGCCACGTGCCTGGTGAGTCGGTACAAACAACCAAACAAGGGCAAAAGTCGCGTCAATAGCAGAAAGGGCCCAAACAACATGTAAACCCGGAGCATCCCCGAGCTCTGGAGAAGTCGAGAGATTGGATTTGCAGATGGCTGCAGTCTCTGTAATGGGTCAGACTTGAACACCTCCAGCTTGATGGACGAGCAGCTCCAGACCCCATATCTCTACCCCCCCCCCCCCCAGATCCAAACACCTGGAAGGTTTGGATGCAAATATTACAGCTCAGTTTATGGGGTACTTTTTAGAGGAGGAAAACAAGGGAGTTAATTGAGCCCTGTGCCAAAGGGATGTATCAGAACCAACAGGAAAGTGGGCAGAGAGTGGGGGCTTGCTGAGTGTTGTTCCTAATTGAGACCAACAACACTCTGTGACCTGTCTTTCCTCCATCTGGTGTAGGTGTCATCTCTGGATAACAGCATCACTAGCAAAGGCGAGAAGGTAAAGTCCCGTGCCGGAGCAGCAATGGCCCCTTGAGATGACCATCCCCTAAGACTGACTGTGTAGTTTGACCCAGGAGTGTTTTCCTTTCTGGCAACAAAAATGGTTTTAAATCAATTGTCAACGGTTGCAAAGGGTTACGTTAAAAAAATTAAGAAAACTCTATGAAATAGAGAGGATAGAATTGCTCTCAGGCTTTCCCAGATGTGAGGAGCACATGGTCTCCCACTGCTGTGTAATAAAGAGCATAGCTATCACAGAATCCTAGAATTCTAGGGTTGGAAGAGACCTCGGGGGGCCATTGAGTCCAACCCCCTGCCCAAAGCAGGACCAACCCCAACGAAATCAGCCCAGCCAGGGCTTTGTCAAATTGGGACTTAAAAACCTCTAGGGATGGAGATTCCATCACCTCCCTAGGGAACCCATCCCAGTGCTTCCCCACTCCGTTAGGGAAATAGTTTTTCCTAATATCCAACCTAGACCTCGCCCACTGCAACTTGAGACCGTTGCTCCTCTTTCTGCCATCTGTCACCACTGAGAACAGCCTCTCTCCAGCCTCTTTGGAACCCCCCTTCAGGGAGTTGAAGGCTGCTATCAAATCCCCCTTCACTCTTCTCTTCTGTAGTCTAAATAAGCCCAAATCCCTCAGCCTCTTCTCATAAGTCATGTGCTCCATCCCCCTAATCATTTTGGTTGCCCTCCGCTGGACTCTCTCCAATGCGTCCACATCCTTGCTGTAACGGGGGGCCTAGAATTGGACACAATACTCCAGATGTGGCCTCACCAGTGCCGAAAAAGAGAATAATCACTTCCCTAGATCTGCTGGCAATACGCCTCCTTCTGCTGTTAGCCTTCTTGGCTACAAGGGCGCCCTGTTGACTCATGTCCAGCTTCTCATCCTCTGTAATCCCCAGGGCCTTTTCTGCCGAACTGCTGCTTAGCCGGTCGGTCCCCAGCCTGTAACAATCCTTGGGATTCTTCCGTCCCAGGTGCAGGACTCTGCACTTGTCCTTGTCGAACCTCATCAGATTTATTTTGTCCCAGTCCTCCAATCACAAGGCATGAGGGCAGCTGGACTAGCCACGCCCCAGAGAGTTGTAATGTCGCTAGCTCAGGTCCTGGAGGAGGGTAGCTGCAGCAGCATGGCAGTCCAAGTCCTCCTGGAACCCTGGGTAATTATTTGCAGGACTTGCCCTCACCGCTGCCCTGTCACTGCTCGGGGACGTGGCTGGGGCTGTGATTGCGGTCGTGACTCACTCCACGACTTCCAGACCGAGTTTTCTCCGCCCCCGGGGGCTTTTGCACGTCAAAATCTGCAAAATTCCATGTGGGGTGTGAAACGGTGAGCTCCGAAAAGCTGCGTTCACCTCGCCCGTCAGAAATGCTGCCAGGGGAGTGGAGCTGGTAGGGCTGTGGAGGATGCAAGCGGCAGGGAGGACTCCAGCTCTCCTTCCAGAGCTGTGTGAGTCCTGCAGGGCGGACAGGAGCAAACGCTCAAGCCCTGATTCACTAAAGCGCTTCACTGAAGTCAGTGGGACTCAGGCAGGTCCTTGGAATTAAACATGTGCTTAAGTGCTGGATTTGAAGGGCCTGTAGGTGCCTAACTCCCATTGGCCCAAATGCTTTGCAAGATGGGGATCAGACCCTTCCTATGCTTAAAGTTAAGCACGTGCTTGGGCACTTGGCTGAATCGGGGCCAAGGTGCCTGGCTTCTCAGGAAAGGGGGAGAGAAACCAGTTGTCTCCAACGTTAGGATGGTGCACTCACGCTACTGATGGATGTAGGATGCTTCACGCCAGGCTTCCATCCCATTTTTCTGCCTGGAGAAACGAACAGGAAAAGATCCAGCCTCTTTCGTGCGCCAAGCACATGCCCACAAGAAGCCTCGGATCGGATCTGTGTGAGAGGAGGGGTTGGGTCATTTGTTAATCGGTGCAGTCATTTTGCCAAGGAACACCTCCTGATGGAGTGGAGAGAAAATATGGGTGGAAATCACAGGGTTTAGGGAAAACTGTGACTCGGCCTCATTTTCTGGCATCTTTACCCTTCATGTGGTAGAGTTGCCCGCTTTCTAATCGCACTAAACTGACTTTCCTTGGCCTGCCCCCTTCCCCACTGCCCCACCCTTTCTCTGAGGCCCCGCCCTTTCTCTGAGGCCCCGCCCCCATTCATTCCACCGCCCCTCCCTCTGTTGCTCACTCTCCCCCACCTTCACTCACTTGCCTATTTTCACTGTAGGGGGTTAGGGTGCAGGAGGGGTGCAGGCTCGGGACTAGGCCAAAAGGGTAGTAGGGGTTCAGAGTGTGGGAGGGGCTCCAGGCTGAGGCAAGAGGTCGGGGTACAGGATGGGGTCTGAGCTCTGGGCTGTGAGTGCAGGATCTGGGGTGGGCCCAGAGATGAGGAGTTTGGGGTGCAGCTAGGGGCTCTGGGCTGGGACTGAGGGGTTTGAAGTGTGCGTGGGGGCTCAGGGCTGGTGTTTGCAGTGTGGCCCAGGGGGTTGAGGTGTAGGGGGTGGGGAGGGGTGCAGGCTCCGGGTGGTGCTTAACTCAATTGTTTCCCAAGAAGCAGCCACCAGGTCACCTAGGAACTGGAGGGGCGGCATAGCCAGGCCGACTCTGCACACTGCCCCTGCCCACAGACACCGCCCCCACAGCTCTCATTGGCTGCGGTTCCTGGCCAATGGGAGCTGCGGTGCTGGTGCCCACTGGGAGAGGGTCAGCATGCGGAGACCCTTTGGCCACACCTCTGCCTAGGAGCTGGAGGGACATGCTGGCCGCTTGCCAGGAGCCGGGCAGGGATCCTGCCAGTCTTTAAAACTGGACTTTTAACAACCCCGCCAGGGTCTGGTTTTGACCAGGTATTCCTGTCAGAAACCGGACACCCGGCCACCCTGTGTGTGGCAGGGGACGGGGAGAGGCAACGTGGCCACCAAGGGAGTGGACTTACCACAGCCTCAGTTCGATGCTAACGTTGGCTGTGCATTTGTGGTACCCGTGGTTTCCTTGCTGGCTAGGAGAGAACCAGGGCCTTGAGCAGTCGTCCGGAGAGCGTGTCCCATTCCTCTGCCTAACCACGAAGCATTAAAGCCAAGTTCTCCCCACACCCCTGCCTTGCTTTATCAGTGGTGTTGCAGCGCCAAAGAGAGCGCGCTAACCCGTTCCTGCTGGGTTACAGGGAGATCCGGGGGCGACAGGAGAGAGAGGCCCGCCTGGTCCTAGGGTGAGTGTGGGCGTTTGTGCTCGGGGGCTCTTGTGGAGCTTGCAGGGGGAGGGACAATGGGGTCAGGTCCCTCCTGTGCTTTGCCCCAGGAGGCTGGGTTTCAGAGCACTCGAGACACCACAGCACTCGGCCACATGGAGCCAGAGCTGCCCCTGGGCATGCTGATGCATCTCGTGGTGTTGTTGCCATCAGCCCGGCTGCACTTGCTGCAGGCTGCCATCCGGGGGGTCTATCAGGGAGCTGTCAGGATTCAGGAGGCCCTGCAGGAGAACATCCACCCCAAGGAGCCCTCAGAGCCTCCCCAATCATCCCCACCAGGGGCTCGTGCCCCATTCCTCCCTCATGTCCTTCCCCTTACCCCTCCCTAGCCCCCCTTCCTGATGTCAAATAAAAGACACGTATGTTCAAAAATAGAAACTGGATTTATTGAACAAAACTGAGGGGGGGGGGCGGGAAGATGAACCTCTGGGGAATTGAGAAAAGGAGGTGGGAGAGGGGAAAAGAGAGGATGGGAGGAGGGTGGGAGATGGGAGGGGGAAACCTGGGAGGAGGGAGCTGGAAGAGGGAAGCAAGGGGAAGAAGGGGGAGGGGAAGCTCAGGGTTGGGGGGTCTCGCTGGACCAACCTGATTTTCATGCAAACCTGCTCCTGGGTTCGCTTGTGGCCTTTGGTGGCCAGGCTGGCAGCTTTTCTACCATTGACGACCACGTTCCTCTGGCTAGTGCGGAGATCATGGACGTTGGGGGCGTTCCCCCCAAACCTAAATAAGGTCTATGATTTCCACCCTGGACCAGGAAGGCGCCCACCTTCTCCTGCCCCTGTAAGGCTCTTGGGAGCTGACAGACTGCTCCTGGGGAGTGGTGGAGGGCTGGTTGCCAGTGGCTTGCTGGCTCATGTTCTGGGGCCACTGGGTCAGGGACCCCGATGGCACTGCTGGCTCTGGGCTGGCAGGCTTGGAGCTGGCACAGGCACTGTGGCCAGGGTCTACCCCTTCAATGGCTCCCGGGCTGCGGGGGGAGGAGAGTAAGTTTTCCTGGTTGTGCCCCAGAGTGGCCACCAGGGCTCCCTGGGAAGGGCTGGAGGCCCCCTATTTCGAATTAAGTGTCTACACAGCACTTAATTCGAAATGGCTGTTTCGAATGTGGTGTTACTCCTCGTAGAATGAGGTTTACCAAATTCGAAATAAGGGCTCCACTATTTCGAATTTATTTCAAAATAGCGATTTGCCTGTGTAGACACTATTCAAGTTAATTCGAAGTAACGGCTGTTACTTCGAATTCACTTTGTAGTGTAGACATACCCATACAGAGCAATCATCCTCCCAGCCAGCAGCCCCCAGATAGAAACACGGGGCCGCCCTGCTGGAAAGTTAATAGCATTGGATCAAAGCCCATTTTGCCTGTCCCTAGAGAGCTGTTTCCTTTGTGTCCCCCGGCTCTCGGCTGTGCAAAACGTTTCATTCCAATTCTGCTGGGCCGCCGCCGTCGGCTGCAGGCTCCTCAACGTGCCTCGTAACTGATGAAAGATGCTTTGGATACGTCCTGTGCAGTTTCCAGGGAGGGGTCACTGAGCCCCGGAGCCTGCATGGGGCATAGCAAAAGTGTCTTCCAACCAAACGATGCTGCTGGCTTTTCCCAGCGCAGGCAGGTTGGGCCTGGAGAAGGGAGGAGAAACGCAAAGCGTCTGTCCCGGAGCTCATCCCAGCAGGTGGGGTACGAGCTCAGGCTTCCTCCGTCAAAGAGGAGGGGGTGCTTGGGGATTCTCCGAGCAGGGGAGAGGGGCTGGTCAGCTGGGAAGGACCAGCCTTGAATAGATTTTGTCAGTGCCAGGCTGTTCTGCTGGAACTCATTCACAGCCAGAGTTCTAGCCGGCGTGGGACCAGCAATGGGTGGGTGGCCCATGCTTTGGTCCTTTGGGAAAGGGAGCAATAGCAGCACTCAGCAATCACTCCTTACTGTAATATTCTAGTTGTGGAGATAACGCCTCCTTACAACATGAGCACCATGAGGTCAAACCTACTTTTATTTTGTATTTTAAGGGGCCGGATGGTCTGCCAGGGCCTGCAGGTGGGACTCTGGTATGTTAATTTCCTTGCCTTGTTTTCTACATACAGTCAACATTACTTGAGTGATTTCTTGAGAAGCCGTGGGGCTTAGAATACCGATACGTAGGTCGCGAATACACAGTCTGTGCCGGGTCGAGCCTTGCTGAAGCGCGTTAAATCCTCTAGTAAGTGCCAGGCTCTACTCGTTAGCCGGGGCTGTTACACTCCGGTGCGTCTGTTCCTGAAACACTCAGCACTGATGTCCTGCCTTTTTCTCCCCCTCTCCAAGCTGGATAGCATGTCAGAAAAGGGGATGAAAGGAGAAAAGGGAACAGCTTCTAATGCCGTCATTCTAGACTGTGAATGCTTTGGGGGCAGGGGCTGTCTTTTGTATTTGTTTGGACTGTGCGACTACAATGCAGGTGGGTATCCCTTGATATCTCTGTAATACAAATTGTGTCGTCCTCCTCCTCCTCAGGGGAACCATGCCCCTCTCTGCAGGAGAATTGTTTGCTCCACCTGGAGAACCAAATTATTTGTGTATCTGTAACCCACACACCTAGTGTTGTTACTGATTACAGGTGGCACCTAGACCACTGCAACAGTTAAGATCAAGAGACCTTCTACAGCAGGGGCTGGGAGCCAGATGGCTTTTAGCTCAGAGGGTAGAGGCTCCTGGAGTCAGGTCCCAGGTTCAAATCCGCCCTGGTGGTGGTTACACATAGAACAGTGCCACTGATTGCGCCAGAGATATGTTCACACATGCCTTGTGCTGGGAGGTTCGAATTGCCATGAATTTGGGGTGTTCACCTTACGGCCACTTTGCTGCACTGGGAGTGAGTCGAACAGCTCTTCCCTTCCCCAGAAGAAACTGCAGTTGAAAAGCTCCATAGTAGCTCACCGCCTGGCTACATATGGACATAGCTGAGACACTAAACCAGGGCTGGAAAACATAAGGCCCGGGGAGGGGGGCAGATGTGGTCCCTGGCTTGACTGAATCTGGCCCCTGAGGCTCAAGGTGCCCCCCCCCCAGCACTGGAGAGCCTGCACAAGCACTCTGGCCCTCCTGCTGCCTCCCCATAGGGCTGGAGCACACAAAATCTACACAAAATCTACTGGCCTGGACCCCCTAGGGTCTGGTGTGAGGGGATTGTGGGGAACGTCCTTCTCCATCAGGGGCCTGTGGGGGGGGGTTTTGGTTTTTGTTTGATGGGGGGGTTGAGTTTTTGATGTTGTCGTTTGTTTGCTTCTCACTTGCATGCAGCCCCTGACTCATTTTTCTGTGGGTCAGCGGCCCCCCAACCCAACAAGGTTCCCCATCCTTACACGAAAGGGGAAAAAAGTCTAGGTGCTGTGGTCTGGGCAGGTCTTGGACATGGTAGGCAATTGGAGTCGGACTGATTGCTGACGTGTTGGGGGGGATGAGAGGTGGAAATGCATCTGGAATCCGAAGGATGTGTCTGTGTCCTGGCCATTTTCTGTCAGTAGAATCACACTGGAAACGCTTTTAAAGAGCAGGCGGTATGGAGTAGGACAAACTCATAACGGCCTAAGAGAGGGAGCCCAGTTAATCTGTAACTGGAAAAACTTGAACAACGAGAAATAGTCTAGCAGCACCGTAGAGACTAATGGAACAGGTAGATGGTGGGATGAGCTCTCATGGGCACAACCCACTTCTTCAGATGACTGGAGTTATTAGAAAGGGAATCCTCTGAACTGTCATTCATGTTAAAATTCGACACTCTCCGAGAAGGAATGAACAAACACTCAAACTATCTTACCCATTACCAAGATAGCTTCCCCAATTATCACCTCTAATACCATTAACTCACAAACATCCCACTCTCCCCACCTCTAATATCATCAATTCACAGACACTTACCTTCCTTCCTTCCTCCCCCCCTCTCCCGCATCTCCCTCCTGTTCTGAAATATGATTTGTCCTTTTCATATGTGTTCATTTTTTTTAATTGTATCCTTTGGTATATACGGTTGTGACTATTTTCTTCCACTATTTGATCTGAGGAAGTGGGTCTGGCCCACGAAAGCTCATCACCTATTAAACCATCTTGTTAGTCTTTAAAGTGCTACATTGTCCTGCATTTTGCTGGAGTTATTAGAGGTTCAGTTTCTGAATAAATAGTGGGTAGGGGGAGAGAGAAGGGACAAGAAGGGGAGAAAAAAGGGGAAAGAAATAATTAGAGTGCCCATGCTGCATGAAGCTGATAGAGAAGGTACTAATTGTTCTTAAGTACCCATTGTTTGTTTTTTTATGTCAGAAGGCCTAGTGCATGGGTTCCCAAAGGGGGGGGCATGAAGAAATTCCAGAGGGGTGCGAGGCGACCCAGCCCCCCCTCAACTCCTCTCCCCCTCAGTTTTACTGCTATTTTTGTTTATCGGCCCCGGTCAGTTCCTTTTTTTTGCTCAACAAGTTTTGCGTGTGTGTGTGTGTGTGTGTGTGTGTGTGCGCGCGATGCCGAAAAGTTTTGCGTAAATATGCTGAGCCCTGGGGTGGAAACATGGGGGCTCAGATTGGGGGGGGGCAGGGATTGCCCCAATCACATGATTACCCAGGTCCTATGGCTCTCAAGCCAATACTTTCTTGGAGCAGTGTAAACAGCTGGATGATTTCTGGAGCCTCTTGGATTATTCTCTCTCCTGTGGAAACGCACCGAGTGATGGAGGCCACCCCCAGTCCATGGCTTGCTGGTGCCCTTCATTCCACCGGAATCTGTAGAGGCAGAAACCAGATTTCAGTGTAATGAAGCCCATCAGACATGGAATTCAACCCCTCCCGTTCGAGCCCCTTGCCCCCGGGAGAGAATGCTGACCGGACATTGTGCCACCTTGCTGGTCATTCCTGTGATGGTGGCTGCAAAGTTTAAACCTCCTTTTGTAACGTTAATGCCTCTGCCCTGCATTTCCCAGGACTCTCTTCTCTAGTTAAATCCACAGCTTAATATGTTAAAGGGGAGGCAGAATGGCCACAGAATGGGACTTAGTGTCAGGACACCTGGGTTCTAATCCTGGCTCTCACCACTAGCGTGACTCAGTTTACCGCCAAGGCCATCTTCCCATTGGGCTTGTGAGGCTTGGCCAGTGGGTGTGCGGGAAGATCCAGAGGGAGTGTAATGGTGCTGTTTGAGCACTGACAGTCGCAGTGCCTGGCCTGACTCCTGAGACCCTCGCTGGGCAACACTAGCCAAGTTTATTGGAAGATTTCAAAGGCCTTCACAAAGATTAATTTAACCCTCTCATGTGTCCTGTGAGGTTATTATGTCTCTGCCCTACAGATCTCATTGAGCTAGCATGCTTAAAATAGAGCGCAGCCATATCTCTGCCTGAGCTTGGAGTCGTACTACTACCTCCAAGTGTCAGCATAACTTTAAGTGGCTTGGCCATGGTCAGGCAGCAAGTTGGTGGCAGAGTCGGGATTAGCACCCAGACAGCTAAGTCTCTATGTTAGGGTACGTCTAGACTACAGGGTTTTGTCGACAGATACTTTCGACAAAGCTTCTGTTGACAAAGAGCGTCTAGACTACATCCAGTTCTGTCGACAAAGCAAGCCGCTTTGTTGACATAACCATGTGGACGCAAAGGACAGTGTAGATGCAATAATGCCTTCTATCAACAGAACTCTGTCGATAAAAGGCATTATTCCTCGTAGAATGAGGTTTACATACGTCGACAAAACTGCTGAGTTTTGTCGACGTTATGTCGACATAACTCAAAGGCAGTGTGGACGCAGGTCTAGTTTTGTCGACAAAACCCTGTAGTCTAGACATACCCTAAGTGATGACTTAGTGCTCTTGTTGTTGCATTTCTTTGGGCTGCTGCTCTTGTTAACCATCTGTCTTGTTTGGTTGGTTTTAAAAGGGAGAACCAGGACCACCCCGCACAGGATTGGAGATCAAGGTAAATAAAAAGATGCAGAAAATGGTAATATTGATACACTGTGTCTCTGTCTCTGTTTCTCTCACTGTGTCTGAGCCCTCAAGTGCTAAGATTCAGAAAAAACATTCGAAGGCGGCCAGTGTAGAACAAACCACAAGGAGTCTGGTGGCACTTTAAAGGCTAACATGTCCTCGGCTAGAGCATAAGCTTTCATGAGCTACAACTCACTTCCTTAGACACTGAAAAGAACAAACAGAAAGGGATACAGAGACAGGAGTGTGACATCAGTGCTAATTAAATCCAAGGGGATGTGTCTCCTGTCCAGCAGGGATGAGAAGGTTCAAGTACCTGAATGGGAAATGACCTACTGAAATGTGAGAACTGCTCCATGTGTCTATGGAAACTCTGTTTCTGGGTGTCAGATCTGCATATAAGTTCCGGCTCAGCAGTTTCTCAGTTGCAGTCGGGTTTACGTTTTATTGCCTGAGAATGGCAGCTTGCAAGTCTGAAACTATGTGTCCACGGAGGTAAAAGTGCCTCCCCCCCCACTGGCTTTTGTATGTTGTCATTCTTAATGTCTGATTTGTGTCCATTTATTCTTTTGCCTAGCAAGTGTCCGGTTGGTCCGATGTACATGGCAGAGGGGCATTGTTAGCACATGATGGCATAGATCAGATGGGGTATGTCTACACTGCACAGCTATTTCAAGATACTGGAGGTATCCCAAACTAGCTACCCCACATCTACACAAGCCGCCCATTGTTTTGAAATAACGGGTGCATTATTTCACCATCCTGGTAAACCTTGTTGCACAGGGGTTAAGGGATGGCTCAAAATAGCGTTTTATTTTGAAATTTGGTGCTGTGTAGGTGCACCAAATTTCAAAATAAGCTATTTCAAAATATCTTCAAGATAAGATACGCAATGTGCATAGTGCAAATTGCATATCGTATTTCGAGTTTAGGGTGCTGTGTAGACACCTCCATGATTAAGTCCTGCGGTTAGGTCCAGTGATGGTGTCACATGAGGCATGTCGACACTAGGAAATTGTTTCAAAATAACTTATTTCAAAATAATTACTCCTGAAATAATAATTCTGAAATTGTGTGTCCTCACTATGGGGAAACCTCAAAATGAGTCCGAGGCAGGCTCCGTTAAAGTGGATGCGCTACCTCAACTTAGAGCCGCAGGAAGCATTAGTCTGAATGACTCTGGGGAGTTATTTCGAAATAGTAGCACAGGAGCATCCACACTACTGCTATTTTGAAATAACTATTCAAAATTAGCATTATTCCTCGTGGAAAGCACGCATTATTATTTCAAAATAACCAGCCCATTATTTTGAAATAACGGGGTTGGTCACGTGGACGCTCCCCTTGTTGTTTCGAAATAAGGAGAGTTATTTCAAAATAGCTCCCTCTTGTAGACCAGGGCTAGGATAGTCGTGTGGACAGAGTTGGCAACAGGGTTTGTTGCCGGGATAGATGCCAGGATCAGTGGTTCTGTTAAGGGGTGCGAAGTTGGTGGTGAGTATTTGTCTCAGGAAAAAAGATTTAAATAGACACATGGAGCGGTTCTGGGATTACAATCGGTAATTTCCCATTCAGGTACTTGCACCTTCTCATCCCTGCCGGAGATGAACCACATCCACTCAGATTTAATTAGCATTGATGTCACACTCCCATCTCTGTATCCCTTCCTGTTTGTTCTTTTCTCTTCAGCAGCTGAGGAAGGGTATGTCTACCCTCTCTTTCAAGAGAGGGCTGCAAATGAAGACATTCGAAATTGCAAATGAAACCAGGTTTTAAATATCCCATGCTTCATTTCCTTATTTGCATTACGGCGCTATTTCGAAATAGCAGACACTGTTAAGACACGGTTATTTCGAGAGAAACCTCTTCTCTTGAAATAACTGGTAAACCTCATTGTATCTTAGGGCCTGGCTGTAAATTATAGATTGAGAAATGTGAGAGCTTCTCTCTCTCTCGGTCCAAATGTACATTATATCCATACACGTAATACCTATGAATATGTGTATGCTGTGACCAACGTATGTTCCTGGGCTAACACCCTTCATCCCTGTTTCAGGATCTAGAGAGACTGTTTGATGCATATGGGATCAAGGTAGGTGACTATTTTACTTGACTTCTGAGAGTTTGGCCTATTGCTGTTAGATGTAGTCACTTCGGGTACGTCTAAACTACATGCCTTTGTCGGCAGAGGCATGTAGATTTGTTTGTTCACCAAAGGCAAATGAAGCCGCGATTTAAATGATCGCGGCTTCATTTACATTTACATGGCTGCCGCGCTGAGCCGACAAACAGCTGATCAGCTGTTTGTCGGCTCGCGCGCTAGTCCATGTAAATGTAAATGAAGCCGCGATCATTTAAATCGCGGCTTCATTTGCCTTTGCTGAACAAACAAATC